TAATGTCTCTGATATTTTTCCTTATGCACCACCAGATTCCGGCCAAATTCAATCCATTTCCTGTGACAAGAAAATTTCTAAAGCCGGGGAGCCTGATGTGGAACAGGTTCAGTCACGGGTTACAGGTTAACCTGCTACAGCAATTCCCCTCTCTGCTTTCCCTAACAAACTACACCTTGCACTACCTTTTATGTTATTTGCAATCATTACTTTACTGCCTTTACACATGTGCTGCCTAGTGGTAGTATTTTTAGTCTTTTACCGTTTTAGACATGCTCTAGTATAATACTAGTATTATGGGCTGTAGAAGAGATAGATGATATTATTACAAATTTCAGGATACCAATTCCTTTCCCCTGGAATCTCTGTTCTTCTTCTCCTCCGCCTTCCCTTTTCTTCTCTGTTTTCTTTTGTTGTTGCAGGTTCCGTGTGTTCCATACACCACATGGTTATGATAACTTGTTGTTCTCCATGAGAACCTTTTTTGTGGCTCATGGGCCGAGGTTTGCAAAGGGGAAGAAGATCCATGGAAATCCTATCTTTTCTTCACTTGTTTTCTAATTTTCTGTTTGTTTCTGAGTATTTGGTCAAATTCCCTTATCGGGCGGATTATGGTTTCTCAAGCTATCTTCTTTTTTGTTTCTTAAGGTGCTTCGGAGTGGAAAGTTATAAATTTTCTGGTTTTTTGGTGTTGGATTGCGTTGCTTGTAGGCGGTGCTGGAATAGTTCGAATTGATGTGTTCTGTTCCTTGTACACGGCGTAAATTTCCATATTTTTTTGAATTATAAAATTTGTTTTGACCTGTAATGCAATTAGTATGGTAATTTTAAGGTATGATTTACCTGGTGTAAGAGATTGTTGGGGCCTCCTTGATAAAAGGGTGCGTGAAATTAAGTGTTGATTTAATCAATAGGTCTCATGCTTCTATTAGTGGCCATAATATGATTGCTTGTCATTGAATAAGAGCTGCTTCTCTCTCTCTCTCTCTCTCTCTCTCTCTCTCTCTCTCTCTCTCTCTCTCTCTCAGTATTTTGAGATAAAATTGTGGTGATTTTAAATAGGCAGGCAATGTAAGATTTTTGAAATTGTTAATAGCTAATTCATCAAATGTATTGAAACTCTGTTAAGCCTCTTGTATGTTTTGATGTTTGTTTCCTGGTATTGCCTTCGGAGTCATGTTTGTCCAGACCCAAAGTGTTTTAGAAGTATCCAGCATACATTGATCTGATATGAACTGTTGGTGTCCTTAGCTTATGAAATATACATACGTACAATTTTTATGATGTTTTACTGTACAGTCTATTTGTTTAATTTTGGATATTAATACAGACATAACTCCTTTTGTTCTAGTAAATTCGATAAATTCCAGCATTTACAAATTGTGGTGTTAGGAGTTACTATAAATTGCGCAAATTTATATGAGATGAGATTAACAGCACACAAAAAGATCTCAAACTTAAGATATTTAAATTCTATGTGGGTGGATGATATTCACCATATTCCA